CCTATATTCCAAAGAGGAGTAGCCATCAGCGCATGTGACGCCTTATGAATTTTAATTGGGCGTTCGAAAACTATGAATTCGTAATGCCAAAATCTGTATTGGAATGGATTTCACCATCAGAATCTATGGCTTCCTGGTTATTTAAACAAGAAGACCATTTTATGTTTTTATTTTATTAATTTATTTTTCAAATTATTATTTCATTTGTAATTATTATTATCACATTTTACTTATTTTAAGTATTAACTCATTTATAATTATTATTATTATTTTTAATTTATTTTTAATGTTCCTTAAAATTAAATAAGTTTAATAAGTTAAATCACTTATAATTATTTTTATGAAACTTAAAAAAACACATGCTTATTTTAAATCAACTTAACTGCACTGTGACCATTTATCGAATAGGGAAGTAAGTATAGAATTTCAAATCATTTATACCTATTATAATGAGAGAAAAATGAATTTTACAGTTAATTCATTTTTCGAAATTAAACTAAATTACCAATGTGTAAGTGAATCATTATGTAGGTAATTTAAATATACATAATTAAGCCAAGTTTAAGAGAGTATGATAATATTCAAGAAAGTGTTTTTCAATAATTTAAAAATCAAGTCAGGGGTGAAGAACCTTTTGTGAGAAAGATCTCAACAAATCTTATGATTGGATTTATTCATTTGTAACCAATCAAGTCGTTACGGCGGTATGGAAAAAATTCGTTATTGATTAATTTAGTAAAGAGTGGAATACAAGAGATTAAACCTAATTGAGTAAAATACATTCATATCACTATAGAAGTCATAATTTTGAAAGTTATTTTGTTAAGGCAATCAATATTCCAGAACAACTAGAAAAAATTGAAAATATTCAAAACTGCTTAAAAATCCAAGAAGATAAGGAACAGCAAATAAATCTTGGCTGTCACGATTGACCAATATACGTTATTGTGTCTTGTCATACAATCATAACAAATTACTGTCATAGCTTATTGGATATACAAGTACAAAATGTAAACCAGAGGCTAAAGTTAATTCTAAATTAATATTAATATCTAATATTTGATTGGTACTAGAAGTACTGCTAATCATTCTAATAGTTGCAATTTGGTAGATAATTAACAATGACATTAACAAGAAACCAAAGAAAAGGGCAGTACAGGTTATCACTGAGATTTATTTTTACTTTTATTTAGATGTTTGGAATATTCCTTTTAAAATATAACACTATTAAAATAATAATAATAACAAAAAACAAGATTTTGAAATATGCTTTGCAAAATGATTTACAATGATGATAAATACATGAAAATAAAAACAAAGTTTTGAAATACATAATGTATGCTTTTTAAAAATAAAATAATAGAGAAAATAAAAAATAAAATTTGGAAAAATATTTGTTGTACCCTTGGCTGAACGATCTTTAGTGAAATACTGAATCGTGTTCATATAAAAAAATAAAATTTAATTTTTTCATTAGGACGAGTAATGTACTTTTTTTGTGGTTAATAGATTGAGAAAAAACCGAATTTCTTTTTTTCTTAATATTTTTTAGACTCACAAAAATTTAATATAGGAAATGACGAATTGTTCAAAGAGATAAGGCAGTTTAAAAAACTGTAATTTAGAGACGAGCTCAAAAAAAAACGTGATTAATAATAAAGACTTGTCCATAAATTCGACTAGTTGATCTTACCATACAGAAATGAAGGGATGCGAGAAAAAATGCCCAAAAACACGATTTGAGAGACATTAACTCTCAAATTAAAAGCAATTTCGCGACTAAAGTAATAGCATAAACAACACTACTGCAAGAATGTAATGAAGTCGACAATTTAGTAACCAAGTTCTAAGAGCCTTTAAATTCGACAAAAACGAGCAACTCGGGTGCTAACGTCTTTCACTTTAACGGCGCTAAAGAAAATTATCGAGTTAAATTTCTTTTGCGAGCGGACTACCACAATTTGGGTAGAAACTTGAATACCTAGTATAATAACAATGAAAGGAATGCAAATCACAGAAGCAATAATTTTATGCTGGGCTTAAAATCGCACTGTCACCTCCAAGTGGTGGGTCCTGGTACTGGCGGGGAATAGAAAGGTGATTGAAATGAGCAAAGTTACATTCGTGTCGTGGTCATGTCTCGCGGCGAATCCCTTGCTTTGTGACTTCAGCCAGATATCTATACGTCAGCTAACGACAGGTGTCTCAAGTCAAGGTGGGACATCATGTGCTGATGACTGTGTGGGTAAGAGGGACCGTTGTCGTTATGCGAACTCTCGGGTAACCGTATTTCCTACGCTACTCTTGGGATCACAAATGGATATTCAAGCAAAAACTACAGCAACAAGAACGATAAAGTAGGAGGGTAAAGTAGGAGGGCGGGCTGGAAAAGAGCAAACTCACTGACGCGCAAGTCAAAAAGGCCAAAAGGGAAAAAAGGCTGTGAGGTGCAACCAAATAAATCTGCAGCATGCCAGGGCATCTACGGATATTCTGACTCATAGATTTGTGAAGGATCACATCGGCCTTATCCAAGAGCCTTATATAGTGAGGGATCAAATTAAGGGCCTAACATGCCCAATTATTGTTATTAATAATTAGTGGTAGGCCAAGGGCCTGCATCTTGTTTCGTAAAAGACTTATATATCTTTCCATTCCAAATTACTGCTCCAAGAATCTCCATTCCAAGCTCCAGATAGCTGCGTTGGTGAAGGTGAGCTCCTCCGAGGATTGGACAGAGTTTGTCGTATGCTAATCCTATCTCCCGGGTGACTATGCCAATCCAGAGGAACAGTTGAAGAACTTTTAGTGAACTTCTGTTGAAATAAGAACTTCCAGTTCGGTCTACTAGGGGTCTTCGAGAACTCACTGGTCGTGCGAGAGGTGGCAATTTTTGATATTGAGGGTGCTTTTGACAACACCCCATATTATGTGATATGCGAGTCGCTGCACAAACGCGGGATTGATGCGACCACTGGCACATAGGTTAGTTGGATTCTATAGGATAGAATCATTAAGTTGACCATAACTGACGACACACTTTTCATCTCCGTTGCAAAAAGATGTTGCTGAAGGCACTTTGGTTTTAGTGCTTCACACGGGCAAGGTTACATCCAAGCTGGTCTGAAGCTGCCTTCCTGCATTTGTGGAATTGGCTGACTTACCGGCGCTGAGGGGATCTGGGGCGGACTTTGTGCAACCCCAGGCTACAATAAGTCGCGAATGGCGTCGGTGGCTGGGAGATACTCCTGCTCCACTCGGTTCTCTTAGAAATCTACAATCTACAATACCATTTTAATTTATGTTATTCAAATAATACAAACAACTTTCAAAATACTAGAGGACGTAGAGCAATCAACAACGCTAACAGAAGAAATAGACTGGCTAGAATAATACAGAACCAGGGAAAAACCCATGCGCTAGTTCCCCTCTCCATTGGAGAAAGGAATCAAAGGCAATATGACTAAGACCAGGAGTATTTGCAATTTTTTAAATTTGTAAACAGGAGAGTAATGTAATTTCGTACAGTTAGAGACAGAAAGTTTCAGTACATTTAACTTTCTAATAGATACTAGTCCAAAAATTTAGATTTTAGTATACAAATTTGTAAAGCCATATTGCGCAGTAAATGCAAATGACAATTAATTGTGTAACTGGGGGAAATATAAAAACTTTAGGTAAAGTGCCTAAATCTACACCCAAACCTTAACGGTGAAGAAAACACTTAACATTTGAAAAACCGATTGAATTACAATGACTTTGATATAATTTTGACATGAAATAGAAAAACCGACATCGTTCCTATTGAAGAACAAATCCTGCAGTTGTAGAATCCAGTCTACGTAAAAAATTATAGGGTGCTTTATGCAAAAAAAGACGAACGTAAGAAGCAAGTTGATAAACTCATAGTAGATAGAATAGTGGAACCGTTTGTTTCAGCAAAATGGTTTTCAATTTTAAATTTACAGAGTAGATTTCACCAAATACCACTAGGCGAAATTCGCGATTATACCTCAGTTTCTACAGATTCTATGATCTAAAGATTCACCGATTTCCATTTGGGCTAATAGGAGCCCAAAATTCGCTTACGTGTATTATGTCGTTTGCTTTTGCAGGCTTAACACACGAGAAACCATTTCTATATAAGAATAACCTAATTGTTTTTGGTTGTTCAAAAATTTGTTATTAGCACATTTACAAAACCATTTATAATAACGACTGATGCACCCAAAATTTATTTCGCCATATTAAGGCAAAACAAAACGGAATTGATTTTCCAGCAACATATACATCTCTGTCATTTACCAATGGTGAAAGCAATAAGGCTATAATAGAACAAGAGTTATTAAGAATCTATTTTACAATTACTCATTTTAAACTATATAAAGGATGAACCTGTAATTTGTTATAATTAGAAATATGGGACAATTTTGTGAAACTTTTTTGGGGACTTTGTGAAAAATTTGACATTTTTTTGACTTATTTCCTCAATAACTTTCTAAATAGCGCCTAAAATTACACATTGTTTCTTTAAAATTAAGAATTCTTTCTTTATTTATTTATTTACGTTGCATATCTTTTTAAATCGGTTAATAATTATGGAAGTTATAGCCAATAAAATCGGAATATTATGTTTGAATTTTCCGAATTAAAGTAAAATTTTAAAATTTTAATTATCTTTTTTTAACAAATTATAAAATTTTAACTTCTCGTAAATTGACATAGCGCAATTATCACTTATGAATTTTCACACTAAGCGCATCCTAATATTATTTTCTGTAGAAATCAATCAACTTTTTGGAACTTGGTTCTGGTTTGACATTTTTGTTAACACTACCAAAATCACTTATCCTTTTTTCAGATTGTACTACTTTAAAACAGTCAAATTGACAACAAATCTTTAATCTGTTAGACAGCCTTTATTCAGTATATCTGTATATGTATATTTATGTATGTGCTGAATAATATAACAGAATATAATTAATTAAAGCTACATTTACCTCTGGAAATGAAATTTCGTTATGAATTTTCATATCACCGAAAACTACTTTACATTCTCCATTTTTATCAACAACGACATTACAAATTGATGTCGCACAGGTTTTAAGTCTTCTAACATATTTTGTATACTTTGGTGGTATATTTTTGATTATATTTTCTCCCATTTCATTATTTCCAATGACGGATATAAAATTTACTTTACCAAATTGTTTCCAAATTCCTTCAGCAATATTCCTTCCAACACCTCCTCCACAAATTTTTGTTTCTGAGAAATATGTGGCTCCATCTAACTGTAAAATTAATATGAGAAAAAATAAAAATATTTGATTTTATTGTTAAAAAATGTTATAGAATTCATTATAAAAGCTCTTATAACCGTGATTCATTGATGTATGAAATATGCATTTTTTCCATATTTTTAAAACACATTTAACGCGTTTTACTGGCAAAACTATGGAGATAGAGGAAATTTTTCTGATTTTGACGAGCTTTATCCCGAAAACTTTGACTCAAATTAAATTTATTGTAAGACCGAAAATAAAGAACAATCAATCGTCTGTAAAAGAAGCACGCGATGGTAACTCCATATCGCATTGTTCCAAAGTTATAAGCATATATTTTTTAAACAAGTATATCTGCATTCGTATAAATAAATAAGTAACTCCCTCCCACCCACACTATTTTTTGCAGTAAAACGATCAAAGAATCATCCATGAAATAATTTGCTAACCTATGCGAACCCGTGGTACAATCCAAATTATATTATTTATTCCTCAAACTGTAAAGTATAAATTTATTTTAATTACTAATTTCCAACTGATGACCAGAAAACCATCTCCTGATCAAATCAAGATGATTCGATTCTCATCTCCTGATCAACTCATTGAGGTACGCCAAAACTCATATTTCCAAAATTACTAAAATAAGTTTCGATTCTAAAACTTTGTTTACTATTCCCAAGACAAGATTCCATCTAATTTGAAACAAAATCATGAAAACCTAGGCTCTGAAGGTGCATCCTCTGTGGGTTTACCTTTCAAGAATCCATATCGGTTCCTACAAAAAATTTTAGTTTTATACAAGAAATTAGCAATGCGTGTTTAACAGCCTGGAGATCGTACAGCTAATAGGAAAATTTTTTTTTATTAAAAAAAAAAAAAAAAAATGTTTCTATTAGCTGTATAGGGCTGTTGTAGTTTTATATTAAACATTTAAGGTTATTAATATTTACTATTTTATTTTCCTCGTATTTTTTAATATTGCATATTATTGAAAAATGGTATTTAGTTTATATGTATAATATGTTTAATGTAATGTGTATAACATAATGTAATGTATATAACATTGAATATAACTTTTATGGTGACCTGGCTGGACCTTGAATCCGAGAATCTTCGGATGAAGAAAGGACCAGTGGAATAACCACTGCACCATTGGTCATGTAGGAACGTAATCAGTAATTATTTTCGTTTGTGCGTTGAATCATTGAATATATTCTTCCAAAATTCAAGAACAGTTGAAACTTTAACTTTTAAACTTCCGCAAACTACCAAAACAATCAGAACTGATATCAGTCAACAAAACCACAAATTTACCAACTATAAGACAATGCAGTCAAAAAGAAAACATACAAGCAAGTCAAAAATTCGGGATTATTAGAAAAATAATTTGAAAAAAAAGTAATTAAAAGTAATTTTTAAAACTTTCTTCTTATTTTGAGTTGATAGTTTATATTATTTTTAGGCTTTATAGAAGCTATTGTGAAACAGAGGCAAAACATCTTTATTTTAATGTAACAGATGCGATTTATACATTTTTTTGGAATCAACTATATTTGCAAACGAGAAAATAGAGTCGACCCTGTCAACTCTCTGATACTCGTACGAATTTGTAAATGGGAATAAATATACCATAGCTAACTGTTGAACAGACTATGACTTTAAGTTGTCGAATTACTATATTAATTTATGAAAAATTTCAGCACTGTGTTTTCAATATTTTCTACGACATGCTCGAACTGCTATATTGCAGTTGTATGGCTGCTACGAGAAAAAGCCAAGCAATTTCAACGACCTTCATCAAGTACATTGGCCCTGCTAGTATATTCGCTTGTGTGAAATTTCAATAATACAGCTTTTATAGTTTCTGAGATATGGTCAAATAATTTTGAAGTTGTATGGCAGCTACCCGAAATAGTAGCCCGACCATATCCAATTTAAGTATGGGTTCTGGCATTTACTATACATTTGTGAAAATTTGGTGAACTTAGCTCAATTAGTTTTCGAGGTATCGGTGAGACGAAAGGACGTACGGACAGACGGACAACCAAAAATTAAGTCGACTCAGAAATCGACACTGATCAAAAACATACATTTGAGTCTATATCTTGGAACATTATTTCTTAGCGTTACAAACGGTAAGGCATATTTAGTATACCCTTCGGTCTTCGTACGGGTAAAAAGAATAAACTGAATTTTTAAATAAAACTTTAATTGATCATTAATGAAAAAATAAAACTACTAAAAGAAATTCAAAATGAAAAAAAAAATCGAAAAGAAGTAGCAGTTAAATATGGAATTAATATTAGTATCGCGTCTAGAATAATTTAATCACAGGATAAATTAACAAAAATCATGAAAAAAACCGAAACCTTAAAAAGAAAAGATTAAAAACAAGATTTTGCGAAAAAAATAAAATATATTACTGCTATTTTTAAATTTCCTAATATTCAAAGTACATTTACGTGTAAGTGTAAATTTGTACATTCAAAATCCCCGAGAGTGTACACTTATCCGTGCTCTACTGCATCTGTTTTATTCACTTTCAAATCAGAATTCTCCGTTTTTCTAATGGATATTTAATTTGTCCAATAAGATTACTCCTTTTTCTAAATGGATATTTGTACTTTTTCTCAAATTATCGACTGAACTTCCGACTTTCAAAAACCAAGTGAATTTAAAATTTTATACCCATTTAAAAAAAACGAGATACACAATACGGAATTATTTTTATCACTCGAAAACTACTAGGGATATTATATCATTGTTTTCGAATTCACCTAAGTGATTTTATGGTTCGTAAAGCAAATAAAATTATTTAAAGAGAAATGTCAAAAATAGTCAAATAAAAATTGTATGTGACTAAAAGTAATTTTCAAAACATTGTAAAAACTTTAAAAAAAAATAAAATTCAAAGCTTTAATAAAAATATGTATTTGTTTTTTTTTTTTATAGCAACACAAAAGTAACGTTTGTTTATACATAATGTGCTGATTTATAAATTTTTAGTTTAAAAAAACGAATTGGGAGCAGTTCGAAAAAGCAGTAGAACTAATTAAGAGAAATCCAGATGCAAAAGTAGTAGAATTAATAGAAAGGAATACTGAGGTAGCTCGTGGTGGTGTTACCTTATAATAAAAGTATATTGAAGAAAATGTGGGCGAACTTTGCTGTGGAGTTAACCACTTGGGACCTTCAATAAAAAATCAATTATGCTGATTCAGTTTTTGATAACCAATGAATTTAATTGATCCGTTATACATCTTTGTATCATTCCAATATTTAGCATTTTCCCCGTCTTCACTACTATTACTGGTGTACTCATCACAATAGAATAAATCACATGATGAAAATAAATTTTCATTTCTTTCAAAATGTTAAGATGTCAATTAAACATAAATTTTTTAAAAAATATTTTTATTTTAATAACATATATTATTCACTTTTTTTAAAATCTCAATAGCAACGATTGAACCACAATATCATTTTGACGAATATTCGAGTAATATACAAATTATTTTTTTTTATTCCTGTTACTCCAAAACTTGGGAGCTTAGGGCTTCAACTTGAAGTCTCCATTATTCTCTGTTTATTGCTAGTTCTTTTAGTTCATCCCACGAGATTCCGTATCTATTTAGTGCTTGCAGTACTGTTCTTCTCCATGTTCTGAGTCTACTTCGTGGCTTGGACCCCGCTAGAGGATTCCAGGTCAACGCTATTCTTGTTATGCATTCTTCTTTTCTTAATGTACAACCAAACCACTTCCATTGTCTTCGGGTGATTTGTAGGCTCTTCAATTGTTAGTTGCTACAAATCTTTGTTCCAAATTCTGTTCGGCCAGAATATTCGGCATATAATTCTTAGGTGTTTATTTATGAACACTTGCACTTTATTCCTAATGGAATTGGTGAGTAACCATGATTCACAGCCGTATATTAATGTAGATTTTATACATGATTTGAATAGACTTAACTTGGTATATCTACATATTTTCGAGCTGTTCCATATGAGACAATGTCTGCCGAAGGCTGTTCTAGCTTCATCTAGCCTATTCTGTACATATTCATTAGTACCGCTTGTTGGCGTGATGATACTTCCTAGATAACAGTAGTTAGTTGTGCATTCGATGAATTGTCATATACATGTGGTCTGCGAAATCAAGGTCCTCCAAATTTTTGTCATCTGACTAATAGATGCCTCTTTCAATACTGCTTACTTCCCTCAAGACATCATCTAATAATATGGTGAATATGAGTCCCAATCCTTCTTGAAATCAACGATATGAAGCATAGAGGTGTTCTTCATTCATGTGCTTGCTCCACTTCTTTTTGGGCGAAATCCAGCCTGTTTATTCCTAATCTGGCTTTGCTTTGAATTTTGAAGTTTATTTTGTGTTACTCCTGTTACTCCTTTTTTCCATGTTGTAGGGATTGTTTCGTTTTGAAAAAAATTAAAAGCTTCTTGCGCAACTAAGAAAGTCTGCGTTGATTTAGACATGTCCATCCGTCGATCCGATCGCATGGTAACTCAAAAACAGAAAAAGCAAGGAAACCACACTGTCGCAAGTTGCTTCTTTGGTCTTCGAACAATTTGGACAACGAGTTTGGAGAGACATACAATTCAAAGAGATTTTTTTAAATATTTCAAAAACTAATAAAGATGCAAATATGAAATTCTGTATACATGTGTCCAATTATATTTTAATTATTCCACCAAAAATTTTAATGAAATGTCTGTACTGCTTGGTGCATTTACCAAACCATACGATTCCATAACCAATTTTATATATTTGGAAAAATAATAAAGCTAGATTCATAAAATTTGGTACAATGGCTTTACAGGTTCGGGTAGCTCCACAACCTTCAAAGCCAATATTAAGTATTGGGAAAAATAATAAAGCAACTGCATGAAATTTGGCCGTCGTGAGTCCAATTGTAGTCACACATATACTTGAAGATTTTCTAATGGCCCGACAGTCTCGGGTAGCTGCCATGAAACTACAAAAGTTAATTT